ACAATAAAAAAGTGTAAATAATCATTATAATTTAATATTTATAATATTTCATATTAAAATTAATAAAAAAGGCACACTGTTATAACATTTTTCATTTTTTTTAACATGTAGATATACAGCATTCCTGACCCAAAAGTCTTTTTTTTGTTTAAACGAAAAGGTGTTGCTTTACTTCCGCTAGAAGAACGAATAAAATTCGCTCAATTTCTGGGCAAGGGTTTAACAAACAGATTGTTATTCAGCATTTATCAAAGGTTCAAAGTTCTTTATAGCGACATAAACAAGGGCAGGTAAAAGGAAGCAAAACCTATTCCTTTTAATGTAGATGATTTGTATCATTCTTTTTTCAGATTTAATAAATACGAAAACCAAATTATTTTGACATTTTTACGTAGTAAATTGGCAAAAGATAATAGTAAATTTTCAAAATTGGCCAATGTTTTAAACAGAGACCGTACAGCGTTAGCCAAACACAGTGAAATTCTTTTAAGGGAGCATGAGAGTAAGTGTTGTTTATTAATAACGTCAATTCATCGAATTTATTTCCTTTTTTTCTAACCACTGGTGTAATTAATTTGTTTTTATTCAGTTGCAGAACCTATCCAGTGGAATTTGGAAAATATGGAAAAACTTTTGAAAAGTTTATTGAATAACATGGGTATAAGAAAGGTAAAAAAACTAAAAAGGGCGAAAATATCAAGCGAAGTTTGGAAATTAGTTTCCAGTGATGTTCATGTGCCTCCAAAGAAACTTAGATACGTTTGGGAATCTAAATTGTATCCAAGACTTTTTATTAAAAAAAATCTAGACACCAATGTTGTTATACAGGTCATCTTGAAGCAGTAAGTTATTTCTTTTTTTTCCATGAATAATTAAGAATTTAAACTGCGTTTGTCCATTAGATTATATGAAAACGGCGTTAGTGATTGGAAGCTTATCAATTGGGAAGCTTTGGCGTCTCTATTCCCGGGTGTAACTCCTACTTGGGTAAACAAATTTGTTAGGGATTTCCTGCGGCATCACGTCCCAGATAGAAAAGAAAAACCGCTAAAAGGTATTTGAGAACGTATAATATACTTTATTAAATTTACTTTTATTTTTTGTTAACAGAAATCGTCAAGCATTTATTAAGTTTAGTGAATAATACTGGTGAGTTTGACTGTAGCTTTTGTAGCAATCTGCACAGACCTTTAATTGTGCTTAAGTTTAAAAATGGTCGTTTATATAAACCGAATTGATTTTTTAATTTTACGAGAACTGTGATAGTGTGTAATTAGTTTTCATTATGAATAATTAATTAATTGTAAGCCTCCAGAAAAAACCGGAAATGCAGTAACGCTAATTAATTTTGTAATTTTAAAAAGTCAACTTGTGTTGGTAGAATTATTACGTATGAGCTGATTTTGTTGTTTATACGATCTACAATAAATTATCGTTTTTAAAACACTGACAAGTATGTCTAATGGACTAAGTTATAAAAACTAAAGCTAAAGGAATCTGATATTCATTAATTAATTATATTAATAAAAAGGCAGTACTGCTAAAAAATTTTTATTTTTGGCTGACTTAAAAAATTACAAATATGGTAAATTTATTTTAGATCCTTTGAAAGGCATTTGTTTATTTCCTTTTTTTGTTTTTTAAAAATTAATTTTTGTTTGCAAAAACTGTTCCACAAGCACAACACCAAGAATAATTAAGTAGCAGAAGTTTTAGATTTTTGTTTGTTCTTTTTTAATGTCCTCTCCTTTGCCTTTTCATAAAGAGGCATCAATTTTCCCTCTTTGGCCAAGAGCTTCAGTATTTCAACTATAAGAGGCAGGTAATTATGTTTTCGTCGGATGTTTTCGATTTGATATCGCTTTATTTTATTTTCTTCTTGGGTGTCAGAATTGTCACTTTTACTCTACAGAAATATTACCTATTAATGTGAGTGGTACAAAAATAAATACAGTAAAAATCCTGTACAAATCAGTCTATCTAAAACAATTTTTATTGAAATTACTCTACTTGTGGTTTTTCCTTAATGGAAAATCATAATGTAGATTACATATAAAATGAATAACTGGCTTCTAGTAGAATATTACCTTACGTATGTTGTGAATTTGTGCTGCTTTTTGATGTCTTATTGTGCAGGTATGTTTTAATAAACTCAGTCGGTGTGCATGTAAAGTTTTTTCACAGTACATGCAATAAGCTCTTGTTGGCTCTCCTTGAACACCTCTTAACCATCCTGTAACCTTTACGTAAATTATCTACTATGTATATTGAATTTGATAACTGACCTTTAAAGTCCGGCATCTGTTCCCATGCTTTTCTATATGTTTGCTTATAATATTTTCCTTTGGCAGATCCAGGAGCTGCAGTTTGGGGCGAAGACTCTCCGAGTTCCTCGTATGTCTCATCAAAATGTACAGGAATTACATTTATTACTTGAGCATCTTGTGATTCTTCGTCGGGTTCACTTTCCATTTCACCCGCCAAATGTTTTTGGTCACTAAAAAGAGAAATATTACTAGACATATTAGGAATGGCGAAGCGTCACTTTTGTCGTCATTTGGTCACTTTATTAATATCTATGGTTACTATTTTATAGAATTTTTAATAAAAGGAATTGGAGCTGTCACCATTACCGTTGTCCTCCAAAATGTAGTTTGAGTAAAATACTGTTCAGCTAACAAAATAATTTTGTTATCTACAAAATGTTCTCTTTTAAGTAACGAAAATAATATTTCGCTATAAATAATAAAATAAACAAAAGCGAAAATTTTCAGTAGATGATCAGTTGTTTTAGGGAAATGAAAGTTATTTAGTATTAGTTGGTATTGGTGTCGTTGAACGCACCTAAGTTCAGTACTGATAGAGTAATGAAAAGCAATTTGTTACACATTGAAGCAAAAACGGTGGCATACTCTGAAAGTAATATTGCTTCTGTAAGTAGAGTAGCAAGATTAATTATTTTTTTTTCATTTTAATTTAAAGAAATCAGATCATATTTAGTTAATAAATTATTCGTTATTGTTGGAACAATTTCAAAATATAAACGCAAGTATTTAATAAATTAATAAAAAACTGTGCAATAAAATGTTTACCTGTGGAATTTTTGGAACATTATTACTTACTTAATAATTACTGTTATAGTTGTCCAGTTCAATGTTAATGGTATGAATTAAATGTTCTGTTTATTAGAATACTATGTGCAATATATATCGTATATAAGAATAAATTTGCTGCCTAAAGGTATGTTTTTCATAAGTCAAAACACCAAATAATAACGGAATCCCATTTATTGGAACTAACATAAAATTGTGGTAATTTTTCCTAAACGAATCTACACATTAGGTCAAAAACGAGTTGATATTAAGCTTATAAAACACAGAAATGAAAAATACCGTAATTATAAATACAATACATAATTAATGCCAGTTATGCTTAATTCAATCTTATTAGAATTTTACTAAATAAATTAAATACATTATCTACAAAAATTCACGAACCTCGGTAGGTTGTGTATCCATAAGGACTTAAAAGAAGGGGTACATGGTAGTGGTCAGAAGATGATCGGCAATCAATGACAATCTGAAACAGCAAAATAAAAAAATTCAATCAAAAATGGACCTTAAATTATAAAAGACAAACCTCTATGAAAGGATAAAGAGAATCTTGCTTCCTAGATTCAAAGAATCTGTCTACATCATAATGCAATTTGTATCTCCCTGTAGAAAAATTTTCCCTATCTAAAAAACTTGCAAAACGGCCGTCTGTGCTGGTTATTCCTTCATTTATGTAAGTCCATCTTCCCTCTATGAGTTTATAAAGACTCACTTGCAGTCCATTAACGGGTATTCCTTTGGTAGTGTCAAGAACATGGGTTGAAATGGGAGGTTTAGTGCTGCTCATTGCATTTGAGTTTTGATTACGAGACTGTAAGCAAGAAAATCATATCATTACTTATATAAACTTATTTTATATATAAATAGATGATAAAACGTGAAAAATTCAACAAATATTTAGTGACTTGTAGGAGTAATAAGTAAATATGTTTTAAATTTTAAATGAATGTTTTATCAACATCCTTAGAAAATAAATTTGTTTTACATTGATAAGAGGATAACAAATTATTTGCAAAACAATTTAACTGTTTGTTACACCTAGCTAAAGATAATTACTTGGTTTTTCCTTTCTTTTATATAACAATGATATAATTGGAAAAGTGAAAAACAAGTATAGGATAAAAACATTACAAATTAGCCTCAACCAATTTTACCTTTTGAAAATGTATGGAGAAACTTGGCTCTTCATCCTCTTCGTCTTCAATTTCTTCTACTTCATGTTCAACATCATCAATTTGAGATGGTTCAGTAAACTCTATTATTGTTTCTGGGTGTTCTCCAACAATTTGTTCTTCATTCATGTTTACCAAAATGCTTTTATTTTCTTCTTGGGTGTCAGAATTGTCACTTTTACTCTACAGAAATATTACCTATTAATGTGAGTGGTACAAAAATAAATACAGTAAAAATCCTGTACAAATCAGTCTATCTAAAACAATTTTTATTGAAATTACTCTACTTGTGGTTTTTCCTTAATGGAAAATCATAATGTAGATTACATATAAAATGAATAACTGGCTTCTAGTAGAATATTACCTTACGTATGTTGTGAATTTGTGCTGCTTTTTGATGTCTTATTGTGCAGGTATGTTTTAATAAACTCAGTCGGTGTGCATGTAAAGTTTTTTCACAGTACATGCAATAAGCTCTTGTTGGCTCTCCTTGAACACCTCTTAACCATCCTGTAACCTTTACGTAAATTATCTACTATGTATATTGAATTTGATAACTGACCTTTAAAGTCCGGCATCTGTTCCCATGCTTTTCTATATGTTTGCTTATAATATTTTCCTTTGGCAGATCCAGGAGCTGCAGTTTGGGGCGAAGACTCTCCGAGTTCCTCGTATGTCTCATCAAAATGTACAGGAATTACATTTATTACTTGAGCATCTTGTGATTCTTCGTCGGGTTCACTTTCCATTTCACCCGCCAAATGTTTTTGGTCACTAAAAAGAGAAATATTACTAGACATATTAGGAATGGCGAAGCGTCACTTTTGTCGTCATTTGGTCACTTTATTAATATCTATGGTTACTATTTTATAGAATTTTTAATAAAAGGAATTGGAGCTGTCACCATTACCGTTGTCCTCCAAAATGTAGTTTGAGTAAAATACTGTTCAGCTAACAAAATAATTTTGTTATCTACAAAATGTTCTCTTTTAAGTAACGAAAATAATATTTCGCTATAAATAATAAAATAAACAAAAGCGAAAATTTTCAGTAGATGATCAGTTGTTTTAGGGAAATGAAAGTTATTTAGTATTAGTTGGTATTGGTGTCGTTGAACGCACCTAAGTTCAGTACTGATAATTGAAAATGGCGTTTAATTAAGCAATTTTAACCGTGATTTTAACACATGTTATAATCTTCCGGTAAGGATTTTTGCTGTGAATTAATGCTTTAAAGTGTTTATAGTGCAGTTTATTAAATGTAGATTGTGACTTGAAGTTATAGAGAAGAAAAGGCATGCTTTTTTATTAGATTTTGAATGATTTATAAACAATGACGTAAACAAATTCCTCAATAGTACCCCTAGTGTCACTGAAGTATTAAATTTTTCCTGTTTAAGAATATAAATTCATTTTAAAGAGTATTTAAGAAGATGTTCAATAAATGTTTTAATTATTTTAATAATTTTGCTAATAGGAGAACATTAACACGAAGTTTTCTTTAGGTGTCGAAGGTAAATCACATGAAGATCTTAATTGTGATTTAATTACTCTTGAAAAATCTGTGTCACAAAAAACCGGTGAGTAGAAAAGTTATTAGCATTTAAATGTTAGTTTTACGTGTGAAACAATTCTAAAAAAGTATTGAATAATAATTTACACATATACATTTCTTGCATGTAATAGCTTCTTAATTTTGTCAGAAGTCGTCATTAGTTGCTATTATTCACAATAAACTCATTTAGTTTTACTACATTTACATTTACAGTTATATTTAGTATTTGGATTGTATCCAATAATCCTGTCCTGTCTCTAACTTTGTTCAACATTATTTGTATTTGCTAAACCTTAATCCACTTTCTGATTTAGAAAAATTTCTTTTGACTGCCTGCCAAGTTTAAAATCAATTTTTTTTACTTGAATAATCATTACCGTACAAATTTTTTATTTTTTCTATATAAAATCGTTCAATAATGCTATTTTTTTTGTCACATTTAATGTTTATTTATTAATATTTTTA